CACAGCATAAAATAGCCCAAGAGCTGTAGAAGCTGCAGAAGCAAAAACACTGTAACGGCTGCAAAAACAGATATAATATCTGTGTAAGCTGATGCTAGTGGGGATTATGATGTTGCCCCGTTTGACCAGGCATTGCATTGGCACTCAGACGTCGCCGGGCTGCCAAGTTAATGACAGCTTGAAGTAAGTCTGCGCTCCCAATTCAGGCTTCGCTTCAGCTTCAGCTTGAGCTTGAGCTTCAGCAGCGAAGTGCGGCTTTGACTTTGACTCTCGTGGCAATTAGTTAAGGCAGCGGCTGTACGTGGCGTATACGTAATATGACCATATATCATCACCTGTGTGTATATATTGGTGTATGTGTATGATGAGTGTTGAGTGCCGGTCTGGCAAATAATTGCTACTGTTCATCAGCGTCGTGAGCTGCCAACATACATATAATTAAGATCCGTACAGCAGCCATTGGCCAGAAGGGAGCAGGCAGCGCTCTCCCTCTCAGCTATTCTCTTTCACTGTTGCTCTCACTCTCTCTCTCTCTCTTCCTCTTAATTCCGTTCACAATGCAACATTTCAAATAATTTAATAACGCAGTCAAAAAATACCAAACAACAACAAAATTGTACATTTGCGCATAACTTGGCACAATTATGAAATACTTGAAAGGCTTCACGCAAAACCGGTTGAAAACTCTACAGAAACTTCATAAATAATAATGAAGGATAATGATGATGATGTTGCAAGCAGTCAGCCAGGGGCAGGGGCAGGGGCGAAGCAGCATACCACGCCACGCTGGCTAGCAGACAGTCAGAGCTCTTTCCGCTGTTTCGCAAACCCTATTCCCCCGGAAACTTTGCGTAGAACTTGGGTCGAAAAGTGCCGCCAAGATTTATGTATGTAAAAACTGCGTATGAAGATAAATGCAAAGTCTAGGCACGGCATTAATAGTCAACTCCTTCAAAATGACGCGGAACAGGTAGAGGGTGTCTACGGAAAAAATGACCTCGCAGGCCGATTTATTTGTCAAGATTAATTACAAAATTTGCGCTTAAGCACAATATTCATTTTTTCAAAAGGCAGTAAGTGTCACCGGGCTGAGTGTTTCAAACCCTTCCCCTGATTAAGCCGTGGAGTAACCAAAAAGGGATCTTGAAATATTGCATTTGTATTTACAATTTTTTGGAGAGAAAAGGGTATTATAGTTTTGAGCAAGCTTGAAAAAAATTTAATCGCAGGTTTTATTTTGCTTAACAGGTAATAGATATATATTTCATTTAGCTTAAATAAATATTTAGTCTAATTTAGTTTTTAGTGTCGGTGCAATCTATAACAATTTTCAGGAAAACTCATTTTTTGTGCTTGATCTATATCTTGAGCACACATTTCTTTACTAGAAGACAATATTATTATTTCTTTGTTGTGAAAGAGAGACAACATTATTTCCCCAGGGTCCTTTTTTCTACAGTCAACAAGTGTACGAAGACACATGGCAACCAACTAGGGTAATGAGAGTTCTGTTTATGGGTTTAATTAGAAGAGTTAGGGAGGGGGCGAAACGCAGCAGCATTGATGCGCCTTATTAGCAGCAATTTGTTGTTATTTGCCGCCAAAGCATTTTCAACAGATGAGCGCACGCTCCCAGAGTGAATCATAGTATTGTTAGTCCATATAAGATTTAGTTCATTACTGTTTGCCTGTGTATGGTTAACTTATTTCTTTATGCATGTGATACGGGTTTCTAGGTGCTATCTAACAAACTGAGTAGCAACTAAATCGTAAAATTCAAATTGACGTATGTATCACAATCAGTGAAAGCGTGTGAACTGAACTTGAGACAGCGCGACACAGCAAACACTACCGACAATAAAATAACCGCAGGTAAACAAGAGCTCAACATAGACCCATTCCCGCAGTTACTTATGCATATGCAAAGAGATTTTTCGTGGCAAGGTGTTGTTGAAGGGCGGGGGAGAGGGGAGGAGTAAACGGTTGGGCTGGCGACACATAAATCCACACATGTTTACACATGGGCCAAAGGCACTTTGAAGGTTGTATACTGTAGTGTCTGCCGCTGTTACCGTCTGTCTGCCAATTGCTACCAGGCTACACAGCATTTCCCATATCAGTTGACAATTTGTCAACTGGTTGCGACTTGAATGACATTTTCTATACATACATACATATGCGTGTATATGTATAAAGTAAACAATGGGAAACAATAACGGTTGGCGATTCCAATTCATGAAATGCACAATAGTTGTCTGGCGTCTGCATTCAATTGGCAACAGCAACAACGAGAACAACAACAACTAAGGCTAAAAAAAAAACACAACAGCTGTAATTACTCGGTCGACTTGGGTAAATTATTGATAAGTTCGAGTAAGTTTTGTACGCAAGTGGTCTTATCAAAGACCTCAACTTGCCTAAGTTACATTTGCACATTGATATTGTGAAGGCCTCAGGTTGTTTATTGTGTGAGTAATTCTTGAGTATTTGTTGGCAGTCATTAGTTTGTGTGAGTCAATACTAAGAAAAGGTAGTTGTTTCTTAATCTAAGTTCCAATTTTATTCAGCGCATAAGGTAAAACTAGTTGAGTTAATATTTATATTATTTGCAACGATCTAATAGTATATTGTAGTGCTAAAATGGTTTTGATTGTTTGTGGAAATTAACATAAAAGTTTTATTGGCTGAAACAATTCAGTTTAATATTTCTCTTCCATTCTTACTTTCATTTGGCGCTCTTTAAATTATGACTTATTTTTGCTTTAATCAAAACACTGTCTATCGCTTCTTGCAATATTATTTGACTCTCCGCGAGAAATATCATCAGGACGAAACACTGCGTCTGCTTCGTCGACTGTGAAGTTTTAAGCCAAGAATCTTTAAGAATAACTTGATTGGAATTGGCTTTGAATAACTTTCAGAATTTATCTTTTACACAGCTAAAGCTGTGACTCGTAACATTTAAAATGAAATAAACTTAGAAAGGAACTCTCATATTTTAACCTTGACTGGTAGCTTAAGCTATTCGGTTTTGAAGTTCCCCATGGAATTAGAAACCTGTCTGGGCAGTTTTATGAGTTTTATCAATCAATGGCAAATGATAAGCCCGAAGTGAACATAAACTTAACAATAGTTACGCGAATTTTATAGCACAGCTATGAGGTAGAACATTCAGTAGTCAGATCTAAGTAGTTAGTTCATCATGGATCCAGCTGGTGCAATCCTAACTGGGTTGTAATAGTAGCTCTATGACTCGGGCTATAAATCCGCAGCTCTGGCTTATCAACGGTTGGAATCAGCAACTCCTGTGCTGCTGAGCCGGTGCCCTGGGTTGTGAGATAAATGTGCCCGCGAAAACTTTGACAAGCGATTAACTTTACAATTTATCGCTTGGTCCCCAAAAAAAAAAAAAAAAAAATGCTCAATTGAAGGCAGCGCCGGTGCCCGCTGCCAATTGTCGTAAATCTTTTGCGCCCGATTCCAGTTTGAAGCTCAGCCTTAGCCAGTTGCTGGCTGCTTTATGTTGCATCATTAATTTAACTAGTTGTGCAACATGCGCCTGGGTCAGCGCCTTTAAAATACACGCCCTGATTAAAACATCAGCACAACTAACTAAGTTGTCTTCTGCTTCCAACGGCAACCTGCTTCAGCTGGCCCAGCTGCGTCAGCTGCCTCAGCTGCTTTGGCTGCTTTAGCTTCCACGCGTATTTATTTATGCTTGTTTAAACATATTTAATGTCATTACGGGGGCAACCAGGACCAACACGCATTTAATTATGCCCAGCGCATTAAATTAATGAACACTTTTATCAGCGAGCCGCGGACAGAGCTGAGGCACTCGCGACTCCAGAGCCGAGAGATACAAGTTTGCGTTGTGTCGACCACGCAGATTCAAGAAGCTGTTCCAATATATTTATTGCAACGTCTCCTTTTTCTGCTGTTGTTGTTGCTGCTGCTGTCGTTGTCTTCGTCGCCTGTGCTGCGTTTTAATCGCATTTAATATATCATTTTATTAAGCCAATCGTTGACTGGCTTTTGGTTGCAGGCAGTCAGTGGCGTCTCGATGTCTTCTACGGCTGCTTAGCGTCTGGGTTGTCAATTTGCGTAATGCTGTCATAAGGCTGTCAGTTTATCATTCGCTCGCTGCGCTTCTCACTTGGCTTCTCGCTTTATATTCATTTCTGAAATGACTTTAAGCGGCGCCTGTGGCGACATGTGACGACACCTAAGCAAATGCAGCGCTTACTTACTTCAAGTTGTGCGCTTGACAGCTATTTGAAACTGAGCTATGTCTGGCATTTAATTGTGGCATGTGGCAAGTTCCAAGTAACAGCAGTTATACTATGCCAAGTGTTGCAGCTGCAAAACAGCAAACAACATTCCACAGCTCAAGCCAGGCAGCCAGGCAGCCAAGCAACCCAACCCACCAACCCAATCCAGCTTACCGGCCAATTGTCAAATGCATTTGCCAACAAGCCACCCTACGAGCTCTTTTTGATGCCTGTAAATGTGCCTCTGGCTAGAGCTGAGACTAGGTCCCAGGTTGAATACATAACATACAAGCCGGCCGAGCTGCAGTTAGTAGTTTGCTGGCAGCCTCAGACTTATTGCAGCAGCCAATTTTTGTTTCCTGCCTTTAATGCTATGTCTATTATATAGAGCAGTCTATTAGCTAGCAGATGGCCGGTGAGCAGATTTGTAGATCTTAAAAAATGGATGGCTTTAATGTGCCAAGGGAGGACTTTATATTTGTTTTGGCCATAGGTACACGATTTTAGAGAATCACTTATATAGTTTTAGATATTTTACCATTTTTACTAAACATTAAAGCCAAAGTAATAAAGGTTTACGTAAGTCGAATCTCCATTTGATTAAACACACGCACATCGACATAACTAACAAATCTCTAATTATATAGCTTTCATATATATATATGTATAACAGCTTATATTCGAGTATCCGCATTGAAATTTATTTATTTATTATCTTATTTTTTGCAGAAATGTGCCTGTACAGAAGAAGTTGACTGCATCCTGTCAATCATGGATCTGATCTGCATTTGCTCGTAGGCTAGCGCATGCTTCCTGTTCGGTAAGTCGATACCTGCCACTTGCGACAGGCAGATTGATGGTTGGTCAAAACAAAGAGAATGCCAGCTCTTTGACAACGACACACACACAAGCACGCATGCAAACACACACAACAACCAGTTGACCCTGACTGTAAAACGCAAACTATAGGCCTGACCTTTGCCGGCTGGCGAGACTAATTTATCAAATGGTTCCAGTGTGGCCTATCGAACAGCCAAACTGGGCACACGAGACGCTGCATAATTAGGGGAAAATGAGAAAAAAAAACACACAAATGCGTTTTTAAACCATTGAGCAACGCCTCATTCTAACAGTTTTCTGTTATTAGTTGGATTCCATTCGCTTTTTGCTCCCTCTGAATATTGTTTGATTTTCGTTAATTGCCGCTTATTATTCCTTGGGCCATTTAAAGGTTGGCAACTCAAGTCCATTCTAGCCTGTTTAATGGTCTCACAAAACTAAAATTCTAATTAACAAAATATTTAAAAGCCGAAAAAAAAAACAGTTTGTAAAGACAAAAAACTATTCTAGCCATTGTTTGGACATCGAAGCAATTAATCATAAAAACAGGCTCAGTCTCAGAATGTGAAGAATCTCTACACTTGAGCTGCTCACAAAGCCTATTCTTTGTGTTACTTTTTTGGAATGCCCACAGTGCCAAGTTCTAGAACTGCTTTCATCACACACAACTAATTTTCCGTTTACCTGCAGTTGAATCAGCTTTTTGAACAATTTTTCGACACTTAAATTAAGTAATAAATCATTTTGCTTGCAGATATATCAAAGAGCCCGCTGAAAAATCAATCAAATAATTAATGCTCTTAAAGAAATTATGATGAAATTAAGTACAGGTGACAAACATAAAATATCACTGATCAGTCGCTATAGCTCCAGAGATTACAGAGAAAGGAAGAGAGAGAGAGAGGCATGTCTATATGTATGTATTTAGTTTTTTCAGCAGAAATGCTAACAAGTTTAGAGTTGAAAGTGGCGTCGTGGCCGGGGCCAGATATCGCATGTGATTGAAATGAAATATAAAATTACATTAAATTACCGGATGTAATTGCGGTGGTCGTGCCAGTCGCTCAACTCGCTCAGTAGCAACGGCAAGGCTAGCTCTTACACTGGCCAATGAATCATGGCCAAAACGAAATGCGTCGCAATTGTTGCCAGAGTAGTCAGGCAGGGGCAAAACAAAAATAAAAAAAAAAAGACTCTGCCAACAAACTTGAAGCGTTCGGTGTGGGCGCCCGCTCTCATGACCAAAAGAAGGAAGCCCACGCTACATTAAGAAAAAATGTTTTAAACGAGGGTCCAAGTCAACGACTCGATTCGAGTATCTTATCAGAAGCAAACGATTTTGTCAAATGACAACTGCGGCACATTAAATGCGTCTTTTTCACGCCACACGACATTTTCAATGCGCATTTAGTTGTCAATTATTTTTGATAGCCAGCCGAATGCATTTGGCATGATAAAAGCACATGCAAGCCAGGCTTAGCAAGCCAAGCCAACCACATCATCTGCCGCATAGTTGCAAGACTCGAGTTAGTTGTTTGTTAAGTGGAAACCATTTGCATACTGAGCGCTTGTTTGTCTTGGCTTTGAGCTTGAGATATGGCCAAGGAGATTAGGTATTGGCACATTTTCAATAGCACACAGACAACAGGCGTAACAGATCCTGGGCACTGACACAAATCGAATTGAAATTTGTTGCTGTTAGTTAGTTAATTTATGGCAGAGAGATAGGCTCATATTCATCTTTTGAAAAAGTTCCATCACGAATCCGCAATTGCCATTTGGTAAGAAATACTATAAATATAATATCTGAAACATTTGAAGAGTTACAGAAATGTCCCGAAGCTCTTTTTTGTTGTAGGTCTCATATTTGGTTAATAATTTTTCATATAGCTAACAATTGACAACAACACCAACTAATGTGAATTTAAAGTAATATTTCTCTTTGAAAACTTTTTTAATTTTGCATTAGAAAAATGCGTTATCTCTGAGTATAATATATCATTTTTGAAGAATACAAATTAACCTTGCTGCCTTAGTCAAACTAGAAATTTGATCCTACTTTTTTGTAAGTCACAGCGACTTTTTTTTATTACCTTTCAAAGATATTTTTTGCTCATGCTTTATGTTGCCCAATCAAGTAAATGCCTAGCAGCTGACCTATATTAAATATGTACTCAATTTTCTCATGTTCATATTGTTACGCAGGCAACAATTTTCGTTGAAAACAATTTGCGCAACAAATGAAAAAAAAAAAAATAAAAAATAACAGAAAAAAATGAAGCAACAGCAGAAAATACAAAAAATATAAATATTGCTGTGCATATGCCACGCACGTAGCAACAACATCAACGACTGTGCAACAACAATCAGACAATCATGCACATAATCATGCCATCAATATATGGCAATTATCAATGAAATTTATAACAATCCACGAAATGTAACGAAAACATAACCGACCAATAAAAATTTCATTTTCATAAGGCTGCAACGAGGAGTCCGAAATCAGCTTTATATATATCGGTGCTCTTCGGGCTGGGGTATGCGGGATGAGAGATGGGGGTTGGGAGCTGGCCATTCCAGTTGCATTTAATGTGGATGCCGCGTGCTGTGCTGTGCTCAGTTCGTCATACTCAACATTTTGCTGTTGTTGCTGCCTGTGATCTGCATCATAAAAACGTGCCAGATTGATGCGTGATTGAAATGCCAATTGCCTCCAAGTCGAGAGCCATAGCTATAGCTGAAGCAGAAGTTGCCTCGTTATTGTGGCCGTTGTCTCGAATATACATTTGAGGCACGTTACACTTGGACTCGGACAGCGCGTGTTCTTACCGTTAAGACTGCGTAAGGGGTCTTTAATCGTGTCTTCAATCTCATCTTCTGTTTCTTTTCCCTCTCCGTCTCGGTTTGCATTGTCATTGTAGACAATTAGAACTGGCTCTGATTCCGAGCGGCATTTGACTGCAATTTGCTTAAAAAGGCCGCTAGATAAACGATAAACAGTTCTTACTGTTACCTTTGGCCATATACGAGCACACCGTATGGAAGCAACGAATTTCCGCCGCTTACCGTTCAGTTCTTGTCCATGACATGGTCAAGACCATTACTAGTTTTTTTTTTCTCTTCCTTTTGTACTCTTTGTCGGTGGGTAATTGAACTTTGTTATAAAGCCTGAAATGCATGAAGTTAATAAGTGTATTTGTCTATCAAATCTTATTTTTAACTTTTGTCTTAAAGTGAAGTTTTTCAAAAAATATAATTAATATTTGTTATATCTTAAGAAAAAGTTAATTCTAAAAGATGATATAAAATCGCATAGGATAAATCTAAATATTAATTAGCCAATTGCTAGAAATCGTTTAAATGCTTTTTTTTTATTAATTTTTTGTGCCATTCATCTTTTTGAAGACATTTTTATTGTGAAATGTTGCTATTTATATAATATTCAGTGTATATTATCTTCGTTAACATATACGAGTTTTTCTTAAGGCATTTCTATTAATATTTATGGGTTTGTCGTTGAAGCTTTGCTGGCCGTGATGAATGAGTGTGTTGAGGCAGCTGCAGATCTTCGAACAGCAACTGGCGCCAGTAGACGGCGACAGGCAGTAAAGTGTTGGCCATCTAGGGCGACTTGCAGCATAGACAACTGTACGGACCGGAGACAGACAGAGAGAGATAGAGAGGGAGAGAGAGAGAGAGTGAGAGGGGGGGCAGAGAGAAACAGAACAGTGGGCAAGTTGAAGAACATAGTAAGTATCAATGAGAGGCTGTGGTCTACAAATGAGTCTTATCTCTCGCTGGCAACAAATTGACCATTTCAATTAATGAATAACGCACTTAAACATTAAAGAGATGCCCGGACAGCTCGGACTACAGCTTCAAGTGTTGGCACTAATGATGCGATGAGTTGCGCGCAGATGCGAAAATCGGACTCATGCAGATGAGGAAAGAGTGGCGAGGATAGAGTCAGAGATTTAAAAGCAGACACCGCTCACATTTGCATATTTTGTTGTCGGTTTTGCTGACGATAATTATTGCCGGGGCCAGAGATTAAGCGCGTAAATTTGTCGTTAAAAATCATGTTGATTTCGCGCTGCGCTAGGGCAACAGGCAACAGGCGCGGGGCATACAGCGTAGATAGAGACACGCGATTAAGTTGCAGGCTCGCGAAAAACAGCAGCTGTTGATTTCAAAGTGTGTGTGTGTTGTTTTTTTTTTTTAATTTTTTTTTTTTGTATTTATTTGCTTGCTTTGATTGCAGCGCTTTTTGATTGATGGCTGTCGCCTCATGGTGCCTGCTCGGCATTTCAATAAGGCTGGCTACCCAACTGACTGACTGGCTGGCTGGCTGACTGACTGACATACTGATTTACCGTTGCCTGATAAGCGGCGTGCACACAAAAAAGAAGTGGCAATTACATGAAGTGGAGCAGCATTCGGCATTTCGGCATTTCGACATTTGCATAAATTGGCCACAGCGAAACGAAAGACTTAGGCAACAAACTTGATTACAATTTGCCATCTCTCAGCGCGACGCTTTCTTCGTGACTAATTTGAGGCTACGTTTTCCCAGAGGTAATCTGCGAGGCCAAAGGTCATTTGTAATTCGATTTCGGTAAAGCAGTTTTCGATGTTACAATTTGGTTGCATTACATCAATTTGCCTGCCGCAAACGTCCCCAAAAGGTGCCCATCTTCATTTGCCTTTTGTGCAAGCAGCGCAGTAACCACTTCTTAATTAGTTCGTCTAGCATCGTAATTATTTTAATTGGCCTTTTGGCTTTCTTTTGATTTCATCGCATATTTTCTGTCTTTTTAGCCCAAATTGAATTGTAATTTTATGCAGCACGCAGCGGCAAAGCCACAGAATGATTTTCACAGCGAATTATGCGGCCAACCGCAGCGGCCCAGACGCTTCAACTCCAGCTTAATACAGCATGCAATGCCCAGGTGGGAACATGTATTTCCCACGCACATTGGCCCCTTTCCTGACTCAATGGAAATCAACAACTTCCGCGAGCCGCGCAAAGCAAAGGAAAAATTTGCGTTTTTGATTAAATCGTGGGATAGAGTCAAACCGCCTTATAAAACAGAGGCACAGGTGAACAGTTAGCAGCCATAACTTGGGATAGATTTTTAAATCTAACAACCCAGATGCATCTGCATGTTCGTGCTATTTTGGGTCCTAGTTCAGGTAAGTTGTTAAAATTTTTCAATCTTCCCAGTTCAAAGCAGCATTATCATATCTGCCAAAGACTTGGGTTAGATCTTTCAATTTACAAAAGTAAAGTTCGTACCTGTAGAACAGGCAAGTTACATCTGCTTAATGTTGCTTGCTCTGCATCTCGGCACAGTTAATGGCACTGGAAGAATTCACGGGGTTTTTATAACACGCCCGTGATCTCTTAGTGGCATCTATGGTGCGGGATATTACGTACAACAAATGAAAGCTTCTCTTCGTATTCTAGACATGCTTCTTAATTGTGTTAATTGAGCCGTAAAAAACTTGTAAACGGGTTTAAACATTTTTTTTGTGCGTGATAGAAAACAAACTTTGGCCAGTTTTTTGTCAGTTGGCAACAGGCTTAAGCTGCAATAAATTGGTTAGTTGTTTTGTCGTGATAAGCCGCGCATCTATTGTGGGAAATTTATTATTGTTTTTGTTGCCTACGCTCATTAGCACCTAAGCTGAACAATCTAATTCATAAATACCGATTGTAAATAACAAAAAAAAAAAAAACTTCCAAAGCCTTAAGCCTTAAAGAACTCTATAGCGTTTGTTGCGAGCTTGGGAACTTCAGAGCGCCGGACGTGGCAGCCTTGAAAAATCACCTTTCACACTGTCCGCAGTTTTACAGAGGCATTGCTACAATTAATAGTTCAATGAACTTCAACTAAAGCGAGCGGATGGAACGGTGGTAGCAACAGCAACAACAACTGAACAAAAAATAAAAAAAAAAACAGCGGCAAGCGTTTGGAGTGAGGAAAGAACACAAAGTACCACAGCTTGCTAGGCCCCAACCATGGATAATAGCCCAATGAAGTAAAAATACAACAGAAAAACAGAAAAAGTCAGCGCGGAGAGCGAAGAAAAAAAGATAATTAACTTTTTTTAAGTATGCCAACTGAAAGAGGCGCAGTTCGTCAACAAGTTGGCAAGCGACCAACAAATTACAACACACAACTAAAATGCCCGCATGTGTGAGAGAGTTCCACGGGAGTACCAGGAATCCGGGTGCCCAGTTGTGCAGGGTTGCTCCATTGTAACCACAACACTATCTGACACGAGGGTGTTTCTAGCGACCTTCCAGGGCTTAAGTCTCTTCCGACTTGTCCACTGAACGCTTCAATGATTTCATGCATAAATTTTGCTGCAAATTTTACAGACGCCTCACGAATGCAAGAAAATTCCTGCACGAGTTCTTTGATTACGATAACTCTGCACTTGTCCGCCAACAGCGGCACTAGCTCCAGAGAGTTCCACGTTCCAGTTCGCTGGTCTCGGAAGTGCAGGTAGCAGCGTTTCCTGTTTGCGAGCACGTTTCACTAATAACGAGTCAACTTTGACAATGAATCAGCAAACATATCAATTTTGCGCCTAGGAAGAAGAGGTTACATTATAAAATTAATTTAGTACAACTTTCAAAAAGCATTGGCAGCTATGGTTTTCGGCATTGCTTACCTTCGGACATCTACCTTACTAATTTGATGACTCTAGAGTCGATACTTAAAACTAGGCAATATAGCTAATATCGAGCGAATATAGTCAAATCCCAAATGTAAATAGTGTGCAAACATAATGTAAAACACACGCGCTTCATTTTAACAATTGTCCAATTTTCCGGCCAACTGGCGATTCGAATGGCTGAAGTGTCTAGGCTAGCAGAGATGAAAATATGCTGGCCAACTTGTTGTTGCTCCGTTTAAGGCCATTAAATGACGACAAGCCAAATTGCCAGCCGAGTGCTGTCTTCTTGTTGTTAGTGTCACAATATGCTCGACCATTTTGAAAATTACCTTTAATCGCGAAAGTGAGTTGCCTAATTTGAATGGCCCATAGGCCGAGCCCGTACAGACCGAAAACTGCATTTAAATCTGTGGGAATTGTGGCAATTGGCAAGCTGTTGGCCATTTGAAATCACGCTCCAGATTTGCGCAGAACACGGCTTGACCGTTGGGGTCTCGTGTGGGTGGCACTTCTGGCGGAGACGCAGCTGTGCGTTGATAGTTTTTCCTGGACTGGAATGCGGCGCCATTCGCCATGAGAATTGCGGCAGTTCACACAGTCTCAAGCGGGTCGCATTCTGATTGACGTTCAAGCTTAATTATGTAAATTATAGCAAGACCTAAAGAAAAGAGGAATAGAAAGAGAGAGAGAGAGAGAGAGAGAGTGAGAAAGAGAAGCGGGCACGCTTAGGTTTTGATCTATGAGCCTCAATTACGAAGCGGCAAATAAAAACAAAAAGAAATACTTTAGCGCAACTAA